TATCAACAAAATTAACATATCATTTCCATATGACTTTATGGGGAATACATCTGCCTTTTGCATGATGACAAATTTATTTTTAATTGCTTACGTCTCTATAGGTCTGTCATTGAAAGAGATATGTGCACTTACTGTCGAAAACCCTTGGGCACAGAAACTAAGATGATTTTAGATGAATTACAAATTTGCTGCCATTCCACTTGCTTCAAGGTAAGGATATGTTTATTGCATTTAACTCAATATAAATTGCATAATGACTGGAGTAAAAATAATTATTTAATGAAATATATGAGATGAAGTTAAGGCTTTCAGAAACACTCTCATGCACATTAATAATGCACTATTTAAACATTTCTCAGAGTTCTGCAGCCTCAGCCTCCAAGATTTATAATTACTCTCTTGGCTCTAGGCTTAGAATTGATTACTGACACATTTATAACTCTTACTCTACAGATTTAAACCTGTAAAAAGATAAACACTTGTTCTCGTTACAGAAGTTTTCTGCAGCATTTTCATAAATCATACATTACATAAAATTGATAATGAAAACCAAAAAGGAAAAGAAAGTGTTACTAAGAAAGCTAACAGCTCCCTGTATCATGAATTAGGACTGATGGGCTTAACAATGGTTGAGACTCTGCTTTTGAGAGCATGATTAATTATAATTAATTGTGGCAGTATAGTAACAATACAGCTTCCATAGAGAATGCTTCACAGTATGTGTTTTCATGTCATGTCTTTTCTTCTCACAAAAGCATTGGGTAGATCAACATTATGATTTTTGGTGTAGCTGGATGAGCAGTTGACTGGGAATCTGAAGAACTGAGTTGGCATTCTGACTGACACTAATTGTGGCTGTGTGACTTTGGACAGTCACCTAAGTTACTGTAGCCTCAGTTTCCTCATCTGTAAAATAAATAGCTGACTAGATCAGTGGTTCTTCCCGAATGCACATTATAATCATCTGGGGGGATTAGAAGGAAAATAGAATGTTTGGTACTAGCCCCAATTAAATCAAGAATCTTAGAGATGATCCCTGGGAATTGGTTTTTGTTTTTAAAATTTTTTTATTTATTATTTTTTGGTGGGGGAAGGCAATTAGATTTATTTATTATTCATCCTTTTTAAAATTGAAGTACAGTCAGTTATAATGTGTCAATTTCTGGTGTACAGCACAATGTCCCAGTCATGCATATACATACATATATTCATTTTCATACTCTTTTTCATTAAAGGTTATTACAAGATATTGAATTGGTTCCCTGTGCTATACAGAGGAAATTTGTTTTTTAAATCTATTTTTATATATAGTGGCTAACACTTGCAAATCTCAAACTCCCAAATTTATCCCTTCCCACCCCCCTTCCCCGGTAACCATAAGATTGGTTACTATGTCTGTGTACTATGTTTCTGTTTTGTAGAGGAGTTCATGTCCTCTTTTTTCTTTTTTTTTAAGATTCCACATAGAAGTGATATCATACGGTATTTTTCTTTCTCTTTCTAGCTTACTTCACTTAGAATGACAATCCCTAGGTCCATCCATGTTGCTGAAAATGGCATTGTTTTATTCTATTTTATGGCTGAGTAGTATTCCATTGTATAAATACACCACAGCTTCTTTATCCAGTTATTTGTCATTGGTATTTTTAAAAGCTCCTTAGATAGATCCAATGGGCAGCCAGTTTGAGAACTGCAGCTTAAATCTCTGGGTCCTTTCTAGTACTAATTTCTGTGGTTGATACAAATTATCTAATTCAATCAAGTAGGTGTAATAACTAGACAGTTGATTGCTTCTCCTTCAGTTAGCTTCAGACAGTGGCACAAAGCAATCAGAAATATGATGTCTCATTTTGAGCAAAAAATTTCCGATTTCAGGCCATTACAGATAGAATTCTATATAAAATATAATCTGAAAATTTTGTAAGTATTTAATTGTGAGAGTGAAATTTCCTTTTAGTTATTAAAATATGCTCAATGAAACAAAAGCTAGTCTACAAATCTTTATTTAAAATTGTTAATCAGAAAACTTTTTAAAAGAAGAAAATTCTCCTGATTATTGCTTTGGTATAAATAAGAATAATTTCCATTTATTATACTTTGGGTGATTTATTTCCATTTTCAATTTAATTGTAAAATACCACTAACTGAGAATAAAAATATCCCCACACTCCTAGGAAAAGATGGATTATTCTATAGCCATAATAATAGAGAACCATCTGAACTGGTTTAAACATGTCGAATTGATCAATGACAACTTGTGTAAGTGAACATGGAAGTCAGCCAGTTGGCAATGGACTTGCTTCAGTGAGCACAGGTCTAAGGCAGATGTCAATTCTTCCCTGCCTCCTTAACCAACACAGCTTAAAACAAACTTCCCCCTAAACACTGTGTAGAATCAGGAGTTCGTTTCGTTCAGTGAGGCTATACCTGGACAGCATAGCTCTCCCTTAGTGTTTCTGTTTGTGATACCCAGTGGCGATCTTGTCTTTGGCATAATCAATTTTTGAAAAGGTGTATCTACTCTATTGTGAGTTAAATAGAAACTTCAGTGGTAAATGTACCCTGAAATGCACAGCCCCATAATAGATGGATTTATAAGAGAACTTCTTTGAAAAGTTCGGCATGTGGATTGCAGACAAGTGCACTCTGACTTTCCCTCAAGAGCTCTCTAAAGGCTTTTCTGAGTGTTGCTACAGAGGATGGTACTGAATGAATTAAAAGTTTTTTTTTTTTTAGCTTGTTACACTAAGAATCTGAACATCATATATAATGTAAACTTTATATATACCTTTTTTTCTTCAGTGTGAAATATGCAAACAGCCTTTGGAAAACCTACAAGCCGGTGACAGTATTTGGATTTATAAGCAGACAATACATTGTGAACCTTGCTATTCAAAAGTTGTAGGTAAGTGTTAAGCTCTGTAAGAAATTGTCACTAACATTAATGGGCATTTGATACTATTGAAAATGAAAGATTTTGAAAGTAAAAATATTTTATTAATTATATTAAAAATTCAACTGCAGATAGTACATATAATGGTAGCATTTTGTTTTATGGCATAAAATCAGTCAACATTTTATATTTTATTCTGATACCAGATCAGACATAGATAAAATTAAACAAAAAGTCTTTTATTTTAGGAAATTTTCCATTTTTTCCAAACAAAACCGTATCTTCTTTGCTCAAATAATTGTTGGAATTGAAGTCTTTATCTGTGAATGACCTTTTACATTTGCACTGGAATATACTTTTTTACTTAATTTGGTTATTATACTGAATGCCTTTTAATGTTATTTTTAAATGGAAAATTTAATGATGTATAATTCTGTATTAAGTATAGCATCTAAGTATTTTTTTTACCAGTTTAAGACCAACATTACTGTAATTTGGACACTTAATTAGCATAAATCATGTCAGATGAAACATTAAGGACCTGTATTTTTAGCTTGTACTTTCAATAAGCTTAGCATGAAAGCTGTAAAAGTTGATTTAAAAGATGTGCACAGTGTACAGTAAGTTAGCAATATAAAATCCTATGAAATCTGATTAGTGTTTAAAGCCAGTATCAGCATTTTATTTTCACTTCATTAGTAAATAGATAGAATAACCACGATGATACTGGGGAGCTGGCCAACAGCACTGTGCAAAGGGCAAGTTTCCTGGTGTCTTGCTGGTGGTGAATGAGAGAGGAACATTTGCGATTTTTCACATGGGATCCAGAATATGGAATTTAATGACAAATGTGTGATGTGAATGAGGTACTGGGAGGCTACATTTGGAAAACGCTCTGAAAAATATTCAGAAACCCACATTCCCTCAGGCTGCAGAATCAACAAGAGCAAACCCAATTATATTCATACTTTGCCTTCTATTTTCTGCTTTCTCATTTTAGTTTTTTGTCCTAATTGAGCAGCCTTATCATGATCCAGTGCTACATCAAGGGGCCTTGATATGCATGGTCACAGCTGTAAAACTCTCACTCCCAGAAGTCCATGATATGGTTTAGGAGATATGGTTACCAAAATACTCAGATCTTTGTACCATCCCCCCTGTTTATGTGCATTTTTATAGTATAGTAAACTGTCAAGACATGACTCTGAGGCATGTCATAAATGAGTACCAGCCATGCGAGCTCTGTATTTAAGGTATGACCAAAAGCCATGCCACAGTGATGAACGCAGTAGAAGGTAAAGGTAAACTGCTTCATCCACCACTTCCCCCTTGATGAATAATCATTTTTAAAACTTTAGTCATAGGCTTATTTTTTGTACTGAATTGTATATCTAACTGTTATTTTCTTTAAATCTTTCAGCAAAGTGGATTCAGTAATCCTGGAACATGAAAATCAAGATGAAAGCATTCATTAAGGAATTAAAATGTTTCTTTTAAGAACATGCAATCTAGAAAAGCTTTTATACCAACGATTGGCTCTTGTATAGAATTAACAGTTCTGCTACTGCGTAAATACTCTAAGTGCCTTCACTAAGGTCACAAACATAAAGGGAACCATCTGGTATCTGGTAAAATTTAGTGATGAAAACTTCAAGTGGTTCTAGTTACTAGTATCAAAGAAAGGATGCTTCTGATGGCAGTGTTGTCAGCTTTGACCAGATCCATCTCTGCTCTGTTGGGCTGTGTGTCATGGTTTCCATTATAGGCAAGTTTCCCATTTTCTCACTTTTGTTTCCTGAAGAATTTCAATTTGCAGACATTTTTGACATTGTTACAAAACTGTTACAGAAGCAAGATATGCTTCCTTTATATACAAAAGAAATATTCATAGAACTTTGACAGAAAGATAAATTTTGGCAGAAAGAGTTAGCATATAATGTTGGATGGACCTCAAAAAATCACTTAAACTCTTTCAGATTTCTATGCTATTATTTGTAATATGAGGGGCATTGGGCACAATGATTTCTAAGGTCGCTCTCTGCTCCAAAACCGTCAGACTGTAAACCTGACTAGTTTTTGTTTTCTCTTTAGTAGCATAGCTGAATATGTGTTTGTTAAGCATATTGAACTAGATAGAATATCTGAAAAATTGAACCTTAGTGTCATCCTTCCATTTATCACAGATATAAGTTTTATAGAATGTATTTTAAGAACCGAAAGATGTGGATTTATGGGAAATGGGTGAAATCATATGACTGGTTTACGTATTATAATTTGTTAAGTTTTCTTTGCATGCATTTCAAAATCTGGATTTACAAATAGTCTCTGAGAAACAATGGTTATGGACTACAAAGACATGTTCCTTAGCACGTTACATCTATTCCTATTACATAGCACTTCATAGTTACAGAAGGCTTGTGAAAATAAAACAGTCCGTTACACTGAATCTTTGTGTGCAGTGTCTGTATCACTCACTAACATTGATACTGTCAAGTAGAGTGATCACAGCTTATTATATTCTGTGCCATGCTGCTTAACGTTAATTTTTTAAGTGCTCAAGCTATACCTTATATTTTTAAAGAGCTTTTTCTTAAGGAATTAAAAATTCAATAATCATGTGAAGAACTAGCACTATTACTAAAATTGAGACATTGAACTTAAAAACTATTTTCTGTGCAGATAGAAGCTGCTCTCAAAGAAGGCATATGGAACATTGAGGGGGTGGAATTCTAGGGAGGTTAAGGCAGTTGTAAAACATTGACATAAACTAAGGAGAATAAAAAATAATCACGTATTTTCTAAATGTTGATAAATGTAAAGAATTATTCTTCTGTATAATGATTTCAAGCATCTATTCCTCTTGGACACTGGTCCACAAAGTGTTAAACGCTAAATGCTTGTCAAAATACGGCAATGTGTAATCATTGTCCTATGGAGAGGGAGCCAGAAAAAAACAATTAATAATAATTTGATATTCATTAATTCATGCTTGATGAGAAGCAGTGGTAATTGAGCCATATGTTTTATTGTTCTTTTATTACATGCTATCAGAGCAGATCAAAAGAAATAATTTTCTTAGAGTGGGAATTCATGGCAGGAAAGGACGAATGGAATAGTTTCCCTCCCTTTTAGATAAAGTGCATTATCATCTCAATGCCTTTGTAGTAATTAAAAATCATTTGAATATCATTTTTAAAGCATTCTCCAGTTTAATGCTTCATTTTAAAAAACCTAAAAGGAGCATAATTCTCACTTTTCTGTAGCTGTTTAATGGACCCTTTCTTCTACAATAATGTATTAAATTAAATCAAAAGCTGTTGTAAAAATGGAATAAATACGGAGTGGAGAGTAAAGGGCTTCTGATTCACCAAGTCCACTTCATTATGTCTGGGATTATTTGCACCATAGGAATGACAGATTCCCACAACAATTTGGAAGATCTCATTTTTTTTGCAGCCAACGAAGTATGTTACGATTGGCATACTCTTCCTGGACACGATTGCCTAAATCTCAGAATACAAGGCCCTGAATTTTATTACTAATTAAGAGATGCCTCTAAAAATAATTAATTGCTCTACTTTGACAGTATCCCTCTAAAAAAAAAACAAAATAAAACATATGTAGTGATCTTGGAAACAGAATTTATTAAAATCTTTTTATTTCTTTTCATAAGGCCAAGAAATAAAAATTTATTCAAGAGGTAATCTGTACATCCCTAATTGTTTGATTGCAGTCACTGCTATAATTAGATAAGAGTGATGAGATGGCCCAGTTCTCACAGTCGGTGCACTCTGTGACTTGTTTACTACAATAGGAAATCCTGAGTGCTTGGAACATTTTCCTACTCAGCTTGATTCAGAGCGCTACCAAAACAAGTGACTGTTTGGTCTACATTGAGGCAAACTAACAATGATGATGTTGATTTTTTGTTGTTGTTGTTGTTACTACTGAATATACTGGTTATTTTTGTTCAATGTATATAAATTGTTTTTAGAGCTCCACGCATCCCAAAGCATTCAGCAGTTCCCAGAGGCACCAATAAATATCTGTATTAACTTGGGCAGGCCATTTCCCTCATGGGTCTATTTTCTGACACTTAACTTGTGAGATTTGGAACGTTGGCTTGCTGTTGTGCCCACCAGCTCAAACACTGTGTGGATCTGGGAATCTATTCCTGCTGCTTGCCCCATTCTTAAATTTTCTCTTTTGCTAGATGCCTGAGAGTTGTTGAATGCTTTGTATGTACTTTAGAATTGCACGTTGACTTTGTCGCAATGCTAATGTTGGGCACCATTCTGAATCTTATTACTGGATCTTTGTCCTGCCATTTGGGAAGTATGGCTTCTGAGATATCACTGAAATGTTCAGATGCCTTCTAAGTTGGGTAATGGTTTCTTTCTGTTTTTTTTTTTCACTAGAAGAGAGGAAACTGATCATCATCATTGCCTTATAAATGCTATCTGGGAAAGAATTTTGAACTTCTTTGCCTCTTTGATACATTCACTTACTAAGACATTGAAATGCCCAATCATTCTAGGCTCTCTAGGAAAAAAAATACACATATAATCTACTGTCACTCGTTCATTCATTCATTTATTTGTTCTGTTATACAATAACTTAAAAATCTTCATTTAGAATCTATGTCCCAGGTCTCAGTGATAACTAAAATAGTCAAAATTCCTGCCCTCATGGAACTTGGGTTCTAAAGGGAGGGTGGAGGAGCAGTTTGAAAGACAGAAAACAAATAAAGACAGTAATTTCTGAAAGTAAATAAGACCATGAAAGGAAATAAAACAGAGTGACTAGGTCAAGGGGTAGTATTTAAAAATAATATTATCAGATGATATTTCCAAATAAGAGCTGAATGATGAGAAGGAACCAGCCTGGGGAAAAGCACTGCAGGAGGAGATGTCTTAGTATCAGCCGAAATCAGACACTTTCTGGGCTGTGTCCTTGCTTCTTTCAAAGACAATGAGATGGAAGTTCAAAGATGCCAGGAGACAAGAGATCAGCTATAGGATTTTTAAGCTTCCTCTATTCCTCATGCAAAACAATGCTCAGATTTTACTCAGATAGCTTTCAGCTCTCTGCCAAGGGGTGGGTTACAACAAACGGCGGCTTCGTCCTGGTCCTCAAGCTGAAGTTGCTCGCTTGGATAAAGGAGCCACGGGTGAGCTCTGGTGACTGTGTCAAAGGTGGACCTGAGCTAGTTCTTACCTGAAGTGGAAACAGTGAGCCTGGTATAACATTTCCTCACCTCATTTGAGGGGCTCAGGATCAAATCCCTTTCTGTTTATCAAAGGGAAACGGTGAACAGCTAGGCAACATCCTTTCAGATCTAGGAGAGACTTCTCAGGAATTTTATAAATGTTACATGTCCTCTTCCCTTGTTGCGATATGAATAATGTATCTGGTGGAAAGGAACATTCAGATCTTGGTATAACTTTCTTGACAGTCACAATTTGTTAATTTTACCTCCTTTCCCAAGAGAAAAGGAAAGATCAGGAGCTTCAAGGACCCTTCAGGCCCATAAAGGCAAATTGGATTGAAAGTCTCCCACAAGAAAGTGTGTAGGCCCTAAGGCAAGTGCGGCACTAGTGTGATTTTAAAGAAATCACAGAAAGATTGCCGGCAGGCTGGAATTCGTGAACAGGAAGAGATGAGGTTGAAGAAGCAGTCAAGAGACAGGCCATGGTGGTTTCATAATGGATTATTAAAAATATACATCATCAAATGAATGTTGACATTTAGTAGAATTCTTTTATGCCTTTTAGATTTGTGTCATTAAAATATT